GATGTCTTGTTTGTGACACCGAGAACGGGTGGCATCTAGAAAGTATGTGATGTGATAATGTTGAGTACCTGCGATGTAGTAGCCTAACATGAGATACCCACGAGGAGATGAGATGATGATTTAAGCCTACCGCGAGATGCGTACAACACCGAATCTAGATATTGAAGGATCTGCATGCTTTGGCTCATATTACAACTTCATACATACTGCATATATATAATAGGAAAATATTTCACTATAATTTCATGCGGCCATCATTGTCCCTAAAATTGATGTATTTCCAAGTTCCATTCACATGACACCATAACATGTCTATTTTTTTATAGTATAGTTTATTTGGAATTCCTATATTTACATTTTATCCATACTATTAAAACATAATCTCTACTAAATTTATACAATTGATTTTTGAATTATTTACAATAATATGTCACTCCTTAGTTTTAGTTATTAATTTTAATTATTTATTAACATAAATTTTACTATATTTTGTGGAGATTTATGTGATCATAATCTAATAAATTTCAAACATGATATATTCATATAAACTTTTTCATGATTCATTGTAATTTAGAAAATTCATAATTAAACGGTTTGATTTAGCTAGGAAAAATTATTTGGTAATTTATTTCGACCACAAAAAAAAGTAAACAGAATCTTAACTCCTTCAAATTTTGTTTAATCTGGTAGATAAAATATTCCATATGTAATTAATCTGAAATTAACATAATTTTTTAAATGGAAATAGACTTTGTATCATAAATTTTATGGGAGAGTTTGCCAAATATAACTCAAAACATGATTTTGATTGCAAATCTATACCCAAATTTGAATTAAATGCAAAACTAACCTACAAGCCTTGTGAAACTACAGCCAGTCCCTTGTGATTAAACAAACAAAAACAGAAGTCATTTTAACGAATATAACCACAGTAAGTCGTCTAAATCGTTTGAATGCTGGAAGTCGTCTAGATGTAGTTGATCTTAAAAATAATTTATAAACTTTTAAGAAAATATTTTGACAAGTGAAAAATTAAAATCATGTAATTAAAAACAATTTTAAGTGATGTAAATTAAGCTATAATAAAATAGAATAGTTTTCAATATAGATGAATGAAAGTAGTTAATCATGATATTCTTTGGTTTTAGGGTTTGATAACATATGTTGTAGTATTGTATGTATTCTTAGGGTTAGATTTTTAAAAGCTTGAATGTTTTTTTTTTAATTAAATTTTCACCTATGTGTTTATTTTTGTGTATAGTAAACACTTTTTAAGTTTAATTTGATTTTATGAAGTGTTTAGTTAATTAATTAAGTTTAGGGGTTACGTTTAGGGTCTAGACGAATAACTTGTAAGTCGTCTGGTGAATAATTTAAACCAGACAACTTACATGTAAGTCATCCTAATATTTCCGCCTAATATTGATTTTCCCGCTTAAATATTTTAGTTTCCCTCTAAGAATATTTTTGTTTTCCCACTAAAAATATTTAGTATTCTGGATGACTTACAAGTAAGTCGTCTATCTTCTGGACGACTTACAAGTAAGTCGTCTGAATAAAAATATTTAACCTAATTGGATTTTTTTATCTCTCTATATAAAAATAAATTTACACATTATCTCTCCTCTCAAATGGCTGCAACAAAATTTTAATGTTCATCATTTTAGAACTCTCCATCCTCTCTCTAATCTTTTTGAACTTATAAACACCAAACTTTAAATCAATTTATTTATTGTTTTTTCTCATTTTTTTTTCATTAATTTATCTTATTTTTTGCAGGTGTTTTATCACATGGTTCTCATCTTCCATTTATTTAAAGGTAGATCTACTAATTTTAGATATGTGTTTTGTGTGTTCTATAAAGGTAGATTTATGTAATCTTCCACTCATTTTCTCCGTGTTTAAGCCATTTGAACGTTTTTGGATATGCATGTTTTCATATATGGATTTGGATATGCAAGTTTTCAGATTTGAATTTGAATATGCAGGTTTTTCAAATTTGGAAGACTTCTGGGACGACTTACATGTTAGTCGTCTAAAATGTAATGCGCTAGAAGACTTTTAAGAAGTCTTCCAGACGACTTCGAGAAAATCTTCCACACGACTTCCTTCACGAAGTTTTCCAGACGATTTCCAGGAAGTTTTCCAAAGGACTTCCAGGAAGTCTTCCAGATGACTAAAATATAATGATCTATAATAGTTTTGTTTGTGGTCTATTTTGTGATTTGCAAATGTACTCTTTTAGTGATGAATTTTCTGTAAAATCAGTACTAATGTTTCCCAAGATATAATATATGTGCTAACACTGTGTTTACACTTTTACAAATCAATGAAATAATAAACTTCAATAGCCTTTTTATCATCTTTGGATCCCCCGTGTGCAATACTAAACTCCAATGGCCTTCTTCTCATCTTAATAAATAACAATTTTGGTAGCCTCGTATTGATACAACATTTTGATCCTTTTTCCAGCTCATAGCAATAATTATCATTAGTGTCTATAACAATAATACTTAAGAGATGGAAACAAACAATAGAAACTAGTCAAAGCATATCACATTGTTTACAAGTTTGTGTTGAAAAACTTAGGCAAATTTAGTAAAACTAAAGAAAAAATATATTTTGAAAATATGAGTTTTACATATCTTGAAGTTACTTAATACTCTTAAGAATACAAGTTATTCAAAAACTAGCGTAGAAGACTTCCACATAAGTCTTCTCGGATAAACTAGAAAATTTAATTAACATGAATGTTGGTAACCTCATAAATATCACCAATTAATTTATAAATTTCATTCAGTAGCTCTAATAATGACTAATATATATGAATTAACCAAAAAATATTAAAAATTCTTTATAGGTTTAGAAAAAATGTTATTAAAATTTGACATAGACGACTTCCACTAAGGTCGTCTGGAATTCTTTGTCCATTTAGGTTAATTTTGCAATTGACTTTTAACTTAGACGACTTACATGTAAGTCGTCCATCTTTGTTTGATAAAAAAACTCTAGATGAGAGGGAAAACGGGTTAGTTTTGCATTTAACCGAAATGTCTCATAAATTTGATTTAAACTGTACGACTTACTCGTAAGTCGTCCATTAGAAATTTAAAAAATTAATATTTTATTTTTTCTATACGACTTACATGTAAGTTGTCTCAGGTTAGTTTTGTAATTGAAATATTAAACAATTTTTTTTCTAGATGACTTACATGTAAGTCGTCCAAGATAAACAAAGTTTGACAAGAATCTCGGAATAAAATCATGGACGACTTACATGTAAGTCGTCCAGTAAAAAATTTTTTTTTTTAATATTTCAATTGCAAAACTAACCTGAGACGACTTACTAGAAAAAAATATTAACTTTTTAATTTTTTATTGGACAACTTACCCGTAAGTCGTTCAGGAAAAGTCAAATTTCTGACACATTCTGGTCAAATGCAAAACTAACCTATTTTCCAGAGACGACTATTATGTAAGTCGTCCATGTAAGTCGTCTCGAGTTCTTTTTTTATCAAACAAAATTGGACGACTTACATGTAAGTCGTCTAATAAAATTTAAAGTTAATTGCAAAACTAACCTCTGCATTGACCAGACGACTTCAAAGTAAGTCGTTTACAACCAGACAACGCCTGGACGAACAAATCTAGAAAAAATCTCCATTTCATAGTTTCAACCAGTGAGATAACTTGTTTAGCACACATAAGTCTTCTTTAAGCACCTAGAATCTCAAACAAAAGTAACTCACCAAGAATCGTAAGTTTCAATGGCTCTATGAACGATAAAAATTTTAGAATCAAACTTTTGGGTTTTTTGGATGAATATGGAGAGAAAGTGAAAGAGATGTTTTTTTTTAGTTCATAAGAATCGAGAAAGAAGAAGTGTAAATCGATTTGAGGTGCATTAAGATGTTCAAGTTGATTGTTCATGGTGGTTGGTGTATTGATGGCAATGACAATCTTGTAAATATTTGAAGATGATGAGGTTGAAAGATTAAAAATGCTATTTTCGGGAAAAAAAACTAGTGGCATTTTCATAAATCTTGTGGGGTGAATAAGGAAAACAAATCTAGAAAATATAAGTTAGTTTTGTGGTTAACTTTATGTTTTAAGTCAATTTTACAAATAGTTATGTACTGATTCAGAATGTTTTGAATAAGATATCTAAATATTTACAAGTGAACTTTTCTTTTGGATAAAATTATAATTTTTTTAACTCAGAGTAATATATATTAAATTTTCTATAAATATTTCAATAAAAATAAAATAAAATAATTTTCTTTTAAATTATAATTATGTATGATATCATGGGTTAGAACATAAAATATGATTTTAACTTCTATTTATAATATGAAATTATATAACTATATAATACTCAAAACTACACTTATAATAAATCGTTTTCATATAAATTTTATATAATTGACTTCTCTTTTTTTTTTTAATTTTGTGCATGTTGTAAGTAAATTAACAGAAAAATAAGAACAACGGTTTGAAAATTAACTATGTTTATCTAGTTTATTTTAAATTTACACCTCCTCCTACAATCTTGTTTATGTTTTAGCAATTCGAAGAATATATATTATGGGTTACCATCTTTATTCATGAAGACTTTAACAAATTTGTTTTCCCAAATATACTACGTTATCTATAGAACAAACTATTTTGAGTATTTTTGGTAATTACAAATTAGATAATTCATATTTAAGGAAATCTTAGGTTTTGAAAAATCTATGGATTCGATGGAATCTAGGAAATGGTACATGTTTATTTTGCTAGACTAACAAAATTTATTGATTTTTATTTGCTCTATGACTACATTGGAGGTTTTTTTTCTACTACATTATAAACAACCCTAAATCATTTGCCATATAAAGTGTTTTTTTGCTTTTAATTCATATGAAGTTGACATTTGACCTATATTATAGTTGATGCTATACAAGTATTTGAAAACAGCCCCAGAAGTTAGGATATCTGGCTTTCACCAGAAAAGCCGGTATGGGAGTTCGTTTTTGTATATAATGCAACAAACCTCTTAACATTTTGTAAATCAATAGATTGTTTCTCATGAACACAACCACACTATGCACGTCAGCTTGACCACTCGTTTTATCTTATCGAGCTTCAGATTGACTAATGAGAAGCAAAATACTTGAATGGACATGAAAGCTAGATAATGTCGAAAGGAAAAGAGAACAACTCAAAGATAGTATAACATACAGTAGTTCCTACTGCTTCAACACATTATGTTCTTAAAACAGTACGTAGCAATTATATACCAGGCGACGAGTAGTAACGAGAAGGAGAAGAGGCCAATTAAGAAGGGCCACCCAACAAGCAATACACCAAGACACGTGACCACAGCACACGGCAGAAACGAGCGGATTACTGATGACGCGCTGACCCATTTGCCCTTCATCAGAATCAGAACAGCAACGTTCACCATTTTCCACTCCATTGAGCCGCCATAGCAAAGACGGTTGAGACAGTTTGCAACAAATGAATGGCAGTTACAGGTGAAGAGGTTGTAGGTTCTATGCTCACAGTTACGTGCGCTCGCGCTAAGTGCATCATCCCATGTAACCGATGTTCCAAACTCCGTGTGTTTGTACCCATACTTGCAAGTATGCCCACCCAAGTTTGGTGGCATGCAACACTGCAACAAACACACACACCAATTGTTCCAATGAACATCACTAACTGACACAAAGTTTTATGAGCCATCCATGTTTAGCTAGAATAGAGAAGCAGATACCTGTTTTCTATCGAGTTGGAGATAGCGAGCAGGAGGACCAAATGCGAAATCATCAACACTGATGAAGTTAGAACCAGCAAAGTCCAAGATGACTCCATCTTCTCTGCAAAGTCCAACATGGCCAATGAAAGGAGCCAACCAGGAGACAACAGGGAGAGGAGTCCACACAATACAACAAGGGAATTTCAACTTTTTGGGATCAATCTCACCAAGCGGCCATAGATCATCAGCATCATCATCGTCATCTGGGAATGTGTTTGGAATAGAGCATGCTTGTTCAACATCATAAACTCGTTTCAGATCCATGAAAGAAACTCTTCCACGGGACATTTAAGATTGTTTCCAGATTCCTGTAACACAAGAACAGTCTCATCAAGAAAAAAGAAGCAAAAGTTTAATTCTTTTTGAAAACTCAGTTAATTCAAAGAATCATTCCGATGTGTTATTGAGCAAATTGCATGAAGTATTTTGATCCTTCAACCTCCCAGTTTGGTTACCAAAAAGTAGTATCAGTTCTTTAGTTCTTTATTTCTTCGGGAACTAAACAAAACCCATACAGTCCTTTCTCTAGCAACCCAAGATCTAACCCACAAAATTACGAAAAGAAAATCAAATAGACATGCCCTAAATCAGAATAACAAGGAAAACGAGTATCTTTCAATTTTACCAGTCAAAAGACGCAGACGCCGAAGCCTAATGGATCCGGCGAAGAGAAACAAAAATCACCGGCAGCTCTCGGAAAATGAGAAGAAAGAGATGAGTTTGGGTATTTGTAGTAAAAGAGGAGATTTTGTAAAATAGACGTTTCTTCTCCTTCTGCAAGGTGCAATGAATCCTGGGAGGTTTCTCAATTACTTATTTATTAATAAAAACTGTGATCCATATTTAAGGAAGAAAAGAAAAGACGAGAAGAAAATCTCGCTATCTCTTTTTTTTTTTAAACAAAAAAAAACACTTTTCACTCTTTTTGACAAGATTCAACACTACTTCAGTTGTAGTATTCTAACTAGGATAAGACATGAATTTTGCGCAGCATAAATTTATATAAAAATTATTTAAAAATTATTGTATGCAAAAGTAAATTTATATTTTTGACTGAATTAATATTTTGGTCTTTAAACAATTTTTTTATTTTTTTGGTTAATTACATAATTTGTTTACTAATGAGCTAATCTCATTTTTAAAAATATTTTAGGTCAACATATCATTTACCGCAAAGAACCTAACCTTTAGATCGAAAAATCTCGGGTCTATTCGGTTACAATAAAACTATGCCAGCTCGGTTTTATATTATGATTTAGCAATTTAAAAATTAATTATGGTTATGAGAAGTTTATGTTCACGTGCTAATCATATCTATCTTCAGTATTTGTCTCTTTTGTGTCTTTTTCATATTGGTTATTTCTCGATATAAATATTGATTTTGAAGTTTATTCTCATTTCGTTTGTTTGTTTTGGACTAAGATTTAGATAATGTTTAAAATTTAAAATAATTAAAGAAATACATACTTAGGTTAAGATCTACAGTATTTGCAGAATAAGTATTTTATATTTATTTCTTTTTTTTTGCATATTATGAAATAATAAAATAATAATTATATATATTAAATAACTAAGAAATCAGTTACTATTGTGTAATAAATTGCCATGCGCATATAAATCTAACGATCACTCTTTTTTATTCGCAATTAGGGTAAATAAATCAAAACAATCATCTTATCTATCGTATATGACATATATTTAAATTTAAATAATATTAACATAGATATATAGCACACTTTTAATATATATTATATATATATATATTAAAAGAGGTTTCTACTCATCTGATTTTATGATTATTGTCATATTTGTATAACAAAATTTTACACGAATAATTTTTTTTGAATGTGAGATGGTTAGTAGTTTCAATAATTTATAATCATTTAAAAAAACAATGACAGATTATAAAATTAAAATATTAACTTTTCAATACATGTTAATGCAAATATCAAAATATTAGTATGTATTTTCATAGGATATATAGTTTAATTTAAATGATATGAAATATATATATGTATATATATTAATATAAAACCTATTAAAATAAAATTATTTCTTCATATGCTCTTATAATAATTTTATCTTAATATAGAATATATATATATATATATGTAAAAATATTAACATAAAACCTATTAAGATAAAATTATTTCTTCATATGCTCTTATAATAATTGTATCTTAATATAGAAAAAAAATTATACCTTGATCATAAAAACTTATGTGAGACTTTCAACAATTTTAGTAATTTATACTCATTTTGAAAAATTCGAAATACAACATACACACAAAAAAATGTAGATTTTTATTAATGATTAATGTAATTGTGTAATTTATTTTAATAATAAAGAAATAAAAATGATAAAAATATACAGATTGTTATCAAATATTTATTGTTTAAAATCATTAATTGTCATATATATATATATATTTTTAATCACTTAGGTAATCCAGTAGGCTTTATTTAAGAAAAGCCTACGGAAAAATAAATATTTGATATATGCAATCAACTATAGTCAGCGAAATATTATATTGCTAGAGAGTATAATTTTTAGACTATAGTTTATATAAGGTGCTCTAGAACCTTTTAAATTGAATTAGAAAGCATAGAGAATTGCTATTTTATGATGGATCGCAATTCGTCAATTCTTGTGTTCTACAATTTTTTGAAAGATGTTGGTTCCATGGTAGAATAATCACAAGTATATAAATATGATAATTCTCAAAAACAAGCACTTAAGATATAATTGGAATAACTCAAAACCCTATGTAGGTTTTATAGTTTGATATCGTTTCAAGAAACCTAACTTTACATAAAGATTATTGTTAATTTATAAAAAGAGATTTAATATTAAACAAATAACTTTTAGTTTTATATATAACGGCCCATATGACAAAATCATGACACTCACATCAACTACGAGAATAGCGACAAATCATGCAAATCACTATAATAGTGACAATTTAAACAATCATAGAAACACCATCTTTAAATAAGTTTCTAATAAAATATTAGATTCTTTTATCTTTTCTGTAAAAGTGTAAACTTTTTTTATTTAGCGAGACAAATAATTTCAAAACTTGGCAGTTCACAAATGAAAAAACAGAAGCATGTTTTGATTCAACATCTGTCTGTTTATAATTAAATGGATAGTCCCAATAACAAACTAGAGAAATCATCAACTTTTTCGGATGGTGCAGAACAATATTCAAAAGAAAACCAGGTCATGGTAGATAAGAACGAGGCAATGACAAACATATTTTGTAATATGGAAGATTCAATTACTTCAAATGTTGAATAACGGTGACGGCCATGTTCAAAAACACAGACTAGGTGGCTGAGTTCTCATCATGGATTCACTTGGCAGGTGCTTACTGCCGCTTTAAAAACATATGTGGCCTTNACCAGGTCATGGTAGATAAGAACGAGGCAATGACAAACATATTTTGTAATATGGAAGATTCAATTACTTCAAATGTTGAATAACGGTGACGGCCATGTTCAAAAACACAGACTAGGTGGCTGAGTTCTCATCATGGATTCACTTGGCAGGTGCTTACTGCCGCTTTAAAAACATATGTGGCCTTAGGAAATGTCAAAAAATATTTCTTCTTTCACTTTTATGTAACCAGATATTAGATCTAACAATATTTGATAGGATCCATAGCTAAAACAAGAAAATTGAAAAACAATTTTTAAAATAATCAAAGAGGCGAACAAATTAGGGTTGCATAACTTAATGTTCAAAGGAAGAAGATAAGGGGAATTTGTAAGTTAACACTCATTAAAGACATAACAAATAAGCGTGAGTTTACTTCAACCCGTGACATGACAAGCGCAAATATTCAACTTTAACCACTATACGACATTGTTCTTTCGTAATTATTCTACCAAACTATTATATATTATAAGAATAAGAAAAATATTTAAAAAACTAATTCAAGATTAATTCAAGTATAATATCCAAACAATAGATTTGGCACTAGGCCCAATACGGACGCTCGAGTAACGCCTAGCGTACTTTGTAACATAGAGTGGCAATGACTAGTAATCATAACATCAAGTTTTACATCTTATACGGATGAGATTTACTGAATTTGTCAGAGTCAAAAGTGGTGGTTTTAGAGTGTGGACATATAAGGCGTGAACATGCTAGTCATGGACGGGCCGCTTGTGGACATGCATGCCATGGATATGTGATTCGTGGATAGGTGAATCATATAAAGACAAACAAATATTGCTTTGAAAATCACAGATACCATGCCATGGATAAGAGATTCTTGGATAGGTGAATCATATAAGAAAAATAAATATTGCCTTAAAATCATTGATGAGATCCAAAGAAAATTGAAATTAAAACTCAACAACAAATTCATGTAGTAACTATGTGATTTGAAATTAGGATTTGGAAAGACAATACCAAATTTGAAATTAGGATTTTATACATATCATGTCGTTGCTACTACCGAAACTGGGTTTAATTCTGAGACTTAGCGTTCAAATGTGGCAGTTTGTTGGATTGATGCCTTACATACCCACTCGCCCCGTGAATCGGTTCATGTTGGATGTTTACTGTCCACTTTCCTCCTTTATGGAGTTTGTTTCCCTTTCAAGCTTATCATTTACTTTATGTTGTTGTGTTGCAGGGAGTTAAATGTTTAAGATTAGAGATATTTCAAATACCGAAGCTCTAATCAAAGGCTTTATAGCCATGTCAAGGATTGTTAATTGTGCATTAGTTGCTGTTTCAGTCTTGGGCTTTATCGCATTGATCGTGGTCTCTATTTTCCAAGGCTTCATCTCACTTTCCAGCTTGATGTTCAAGGAGATTAATAGGACCTCTCTACGACATTAGTTGTTAACCATCTTGTATGCCCCGATCTTAATATGTTGTATGTGCTTACTTGTAATATCTGGTTATTTGGCCATGATGACTTTATTATCAACTTGTATAAGCATTTTTCATTCATGGTGAGTAAGAATCTATAAAATTGAGGTTTGACAACCAAAAAATAAAAAAATATTCTTAGCCACAAAATTTCTAATTTAAATTATTTAATAGTTGGTTCAAATTGGATCTCACCGAACTAAACTATTTTTTGTTTTGTTTTTTTTGTCTTGCCCAACGCTTCTTAAAACAAGACAGAATCATTTCGTCTCAAAATTTCCAGCCATTCACAGAAAATACTCCAAATCCAAAATTTGTCTTCAGTTGAAAAGGAAACACAAAATGTTTCCTATATATAGCGTAACGTTCTCAATTTTAGAATGACACATGCCACTGTTTCAAGAATTTTAAAAAAAAATTATTTAATTATTTATATGGTACTAGGTTTGGTCCGTACATATGATGTACACATTATTATTTACTTTAAGATTTTATATATTTTCATTAATTGTGATATCTGTAAAATGATGTTTATACACTTTAGAATTAGAGATTTGCATTTAACTATTTATATGTAAAATTCGGGTATCTAATGTATTTGAAACTTTTTCTCCATTTTAATATATACGATATTATTAATTCTTTTCATTTGTAGTATCATATTTTTTAATATAATTGTCATATTTATAAATTTTTGATATATAAATGATAGTTTCATAATTGTGATATAATTATGTTATTTTACTATAAGTGAACAATGATAAAGCAGTTCATTAGAAATATTGTTTTTAGAAATATTATCTTTTAAGTGTGTTATAGTCCATCGTATTAGAACATAAACACAATAAGAAATTCAATATCTATAATAAATTAGATATTATGAATGTGCAACTGATTTATTATAGATCGCAATTCGTTAATTCTTGTGATCTACAATTTTTTGAAAGATGTTGGTTCCATGGTAGAATAATTAAAAGTATATAAATATGTTAATTCTCGAAACAAGCACTTAAGATATAATTGTATCATATCATGGATAACTCAAAACCGTATGTAGGCTTTATAGTTTGATATCGTCTTAAGAAACCTAAATTTGCATAAAGATTCTTGTTAATTTATAAAAAGAAAAATTTAATATTTAATAAAAAAACTTTTAGTTTTATATATAACGGCCCATAGGACTAGCTAAACAAATCATGACACTCACATCAACTACGAGAATAGCGACAAATCATGCCAATCACTATAATAGTGACAATTTAAAAAATCATAGAACCACCATCTTTAATTAAGTTTCTAATAAAATATTAGATTCTTTTATCTTTTCTGTAAAAGTGTAAATTTTTTTTTATTTAGCGAGACAAATAATTTCAAAACATGGCAGTTCACAAATGAAAAAGCAGAAGCATGTTTTGATTCAACATCTGTCTGTTTATAATTAAATGGATAGTCCCAATGACAAACTAGAGAAATCATCAACTTTTTCAGATGGTGCAGAAGAATATTCAAAAGAAAACCAGGTCATGGTAGATAAGAACGAGGCAATGACAAACATATTTTGTAATATGGAAGATTCAATTACTTCAAATGTTGAATAACGGTGACGGCCATGTTCAAAAACACAGACTAGGTGGCTGAGTTCTCATCATGGATTCACTTGGCAGGTGCTTACTGCCGCTTTAAAAACATATGTGGCCTTNACCAGGTCATGGTAGATAAGAACGAGGCAATGACAAACATATTTTGTAATATGGAAGATTCAATTACTTCAAATGTTGAATAACGGTGACGGCCATGTTCAAAAACACAGACTAGGTGGCTGAGTTCTCATCATGGATTCACTTGGCAGGTGCTTACTGCCGCTTTAAAAACATATGTGGCCTTAGGAAATGTCAAAAACTATTTCTTCTTTCACTTTTATGTAACCAGATATTAGATCTAACAATATTTGATAGGATCCATAGCTAAAACAAGAAAATTGAAAAACAATTTTTAAAATAATCAAAGAGGCGAACAAATTAGGGTTGCAGAACTTAATGTTCAAGGAAATAAAATAATGGGAGTTTGTAATCTAACACTCATTAAAGAAAGAGAAAAAAACTCAAATAAGCGTGAGTTTACTTGAACCCGTGACATGACAAGCGAAAATATCCAACTTTACCACTATACGATATTGTACTTACATAATTATTCTAACAAACTATTATGTATTATAAGAAAAAGAATTTTTTTTTAAAAAATAATTCAAGATTAATTCATGTATAATATCCAAAGAATAGATTTGGCACTAGGCCCAATACGGGCGCTCGAGTCACGCCTAGCATACTTTCTAATGTAGAGTGGCAATGACTAGTAATCATAACATCAAATTTTAAAGCTTATACGGATGAGGTTTACTGAGTTTGTCAGAGTAAAAAGTGGTGTGTTTTAGAGTGAGGACATATAAGGCGTGAGCATGCTAGTCATGGACGGGCCGCTCTTGGACATGCATTCCATGGATATGTGATTCGTGGATAGGTGAATCATATAAAGACAAACAAATATTGCTTTTAAAATCACAGATGCCATGCCATGAATAGGAGATTCTTAGATAGATGAATCATATATGAAAAATAAATATTACCTTAAAGCATAGATGAGATCCAAAGAAAATTATGTGATTTAAAATTAGGATTTTGAAAGAGAATACAAAATTTGAAATTAGGATTTCAAACATATCATGTCGGTACTATTACCAAAACTTGATTTAATTCTGAGACTTAGCGTTCAAATGTGGCAGTTTGTTGGTTTGATGCCTTACATACCAACTCGTCCCGTAACCTGGTCATGTTGGATGTTTACTGTCCACTTTCCTCCTTTATGGAGTTTGTTTCCTTTCCAAGTTTATCATCGACTTTATGTTGTTGTGTTGCAGGGAGTTAAATGTTGAAGATTTAAGATACTTGAAATACTGAAGTTCCAATCAAAGGTTTTATAGCCATGTTAAGGATTATTAATTGTGCATTAGTTACTGTTTCAGTCTCGGGATTTATGTGATTGATCGTGGTCTCTATTTCCAAGGCTTCATCTCATTTTCCAGCTTGATGTTCAAAGATATTATAGGACTTCTCTACGACATTAGTTGTTAAGTGTCTTGTATGCCCATATCTTAATATGTTATATCTGCTTACTCGTAATATCTGGTTATTTGGCCATGATGACTTTATTATCAACTTGTATGAGCATTTTTTCATTCATGAAGAGTAAGAATCTATAAAATTGAGGTTTGACCAAAAAGTAATATTATTCTCAGCCACAAGATCTCTAGGTTTAAGTTATTTAATAAATTGGTTCAAATTTTATCTCACCTAATTACTAAACCATTTTTTGTTTTGTTTTTGTCTTACTGTCCAACGTTTCTTAAAACAATACAGAGCCATTTCGTCTCAAAATTTTCAGCCGTACACAGAAAATGCTCCAAATCTAAAGTGTGTCTTTAGTTAAAAAAGAAACACATAATGTGTTTGATAGCGTAACGTTCTCAATTTTGGAATGACACATGCCACTGTCTTAAGAGTTTTAGAAATAGAAATATTTAATTACTATATATGATACTATGGTTTGTTCTGTACATATGATATGCGGATTACTATCTACTTTAAGATTATTTATATTTTAATCAATTGTGATATCTATAAAATGATGTTTAGTCACTTTAAAATTAAAGATTTGCATTTAACTATTTATGTGTAAAATTCGGGTATCTAGTGTATTTGGAACTTTTTTCTATTTTTATATATAGGATATTATTAATTTTTATCATTTATAGTATCATATTTTTATATATAATCTGTCATAATTTTGAATTTTTGACATATAAATGATATTTTCAAAATTGTGACCTATTATGTTATTTCACTATAAGTGAACAATGATAAAGCAGTTCATTAGTAATATTGTTCTTGAGAAATATTATTTTTAAGAGTGTTACATTCCATCGTATTAGAACATAAACACAACAAGAAATTTAAGGATTTTAACTCCAAATACCCCTTAGACTCATAAAATATTCTCAAATCTCCCACCAATAAAATATATTTTCTTTTATATTTATTTTTAAATACGAAAATGTGTTAAATACATCTATAACCCTTAGAAAATCAGATAATTACATGATCCAACCACATAAATCCGATCCACTCTGATCCAATTGGGCACAACCCGGTTCCTAAACCAAGTACTGCGTTTTGGACTTAAAGCTTCTCCTTTCTTCACGGACTCCTTCTCTCTCCCTCACGACGAACTCCATTTTCATCTCCCTCTCTGGCGATTCTGAAACCCTAACCTCTGTCGCCGCATTCATCTTCCATCAAAATCAAAAATCCATTAATCCCTCCCTCTTATTTCTCGTGTCTTTAACCCTCTCTTTGTCTCTGTTTGAGAATTAATCCTTAACCCTAGGTCGAGATCCGTCTGCTTCGTTTCTTCTTCTCTCCACCGAATTGACTCTCCATCTTCGTTTCTTCTGGTAAGTGATTAGTTTCCCTTTGTATTATTGTTATTAGGTTATTTTGTTAGTAGATTTGAAAAATAAACTGGGGATAATTTGTAAGTTGAGATTAGGCAAAGTAATAATTCTGGGTTTTTCCTAAATGTGTGTTGTTGTGTTGTTTCTGGATGTTAATAGGAAACGAGACGTGGAGGAAAAAAAATGACTAAAAAGAATAATAAAAAAGCCACAACAGCTCGAGAACTTGTTGTTCCTGTTGTTGAAGAAGTGTTATCAGACAGGAACAATAGTGTTGATTTTCGTGAAGTTCTCTCTGAGGTATCATATTTTTTGGTTTTAGTTGAATAAAAAGTCACTTCTTGTGTGTGTATTGGTTTTATTTGAATTAAGTGTCACTATTGTGTATTAGTTTGACTTGAGTCAAGTGTCATTGCTTGTGTATTAATTTTCGTTGAATCAAGTTTATGGGCTTTTGACTGGATTAGTTGGATCGAAATGGTTAAATGACATGATAAAAAGTCATAACCATGTTTAAAGAATAATTTTCCTATAAATTCGGAGAAGTAATAATTTTTGCTGTGATTACTCATCTTATACATCTTATACAGGGAATAAAAGGCCAAAAAAGAAGGTGTCCATCTATTATAGGTGGTGTGTCCAGTAGAACTAGAGCAAGAAAGGCGCTCTCAGATGGGAATGAGCCGATAGAAGAAGAGGCAGTCCAGCGGGATAATACTCCAGTGAGAGAAACCACTGTAGATTCTCTCTCAATTGATGCCGAAAGTGAAGGCATGTCTGATGTATCATCCAAGGTAATTTTTGCATTCATTTTAATCATTGTTAGAAGGTCATATTAGTCTTACTAGTTAGGAATGACTAATACATATATATATACATTGATTGTAGGAAAGGCAACCACCACAGCCTCTTGAGTTTTACTTCAAGAGCACACAGTTCACGAAGACTTCCAAGATTCAAACTAAATGTTTGGTGAAGAAGACAGTTGATGTGATTAAGAAGCTTAAGGAGGAGGTTAAATGGTTCACAAGTCATCCCCAGTTTTGTCATTTCTTCCACATGCTCGAAAAAAAATTTCTGAAGCTCCAAGCAATGTGAATGCTACTTATGCGCACCATTAATATTGAAAGAGATGATGCTGCATGGTTTGGGGTGAACGGTGTGCCCATCCGCTATTCTATGAGGGAGCATGCCCTCATCTCTGGCTTAGACTGCCATGAGTATCCGAAGAAATATTTGAAGCAAGGAGGAGAGCAAAGAAGCAGCCACGCCATTGATACATGCCAAGCCCAAGGCTAAGAAGAGGGGCAGGTCGAGGAAGACTGATGCTATATTAAAGCCATGTACGCCGCTGCCAAAAAGAAAAGGCGAACCATCACAGTGGGTGCAGTCTCCTTTCACCCCCGAAGAAAAGAAGAAGCGTAAAACAAATGTCTAAGCTTGTTATGTGTTTTTTTAAGTATTTTGTTTCTGCTTCTAGATGTTACTTGTTAGAAACTTAAGTAAAACAAAACTTTCTGTGTGTTATTTTGTATGCTTTTGGATGTAATGGTATGTGTTGGAAAACAGGTATGGATAACTCTATTTACGAATTAACTTATGTCCAAAAACGAGTTAAAAGGATAACTGGTTTTACTACTAGGTTTACTAAGTCTAAAAAAACACTTGTCAAAAAATTTTAAAAAATTGTTCATGTAAAATACACATGTTAAACGTGAGTCAAATAATAATATAAAAAAGTGAACATGTAAAACGTGCAGCCGCTATATACATAAAAATATTATTTTGGTTACACATAGTAATTCTTGGTAATCTTCAAGGACTTAGTAATACTACCTTACACATAGTAATTTTTTTGGCAAATTTCAAGTTTCTTTAGTAAAACCATTAGAAAATGAGATTTTTTTCTAGTAAAACCAATGCTTTTACACTATTAATATCCTTACAGAAGACATTTTCAATAATAACTTTCGAGTAATACGTATTTTTAAAAAATTTCTTTACTATGGACTAACCATTCTCACACTTACAATGAAAGTTAAAAGAGTTTTTTGGAAAATAGAATAGGTTTTTTTTAAACAATTGAAATAATCATCAAAAATAGTCTTAATATGCATACTTATTAAGTAAATAGTCTAAGAATTGATAATAACCATGAAATATATATCGATTCTACATACTAAACATAAATACTCGCACTAATATATTTTTTAGAAATAACAAAAAGTAAAACCAGTAATACTAGTATTTCAAATAATACTTAGTAACGCCAGTAATCTTAGTTTTCTGAAACACACTTAATAATACCAGTAATATTAGTATTCTGAAGAGCACATAATAATACTATTAATCCTAATAACACAATGAAACAACTTTCAACAGTCAAACACCTGAACCACTTCCACATTCAAAATGTGCTGCCATACCTCCTCCTCTGCCTCTCCCTATGTTGTGTCTCTCCTTCTTATAGTCATCTACCTTTATCTTTTTGCAAATAATACGCTCAACCAAAACAGAGCGTGTGATCTCCTCCACTGATTTCTTCAACACAATATTGTGAATTTCATCTTCCCCTTCACCATATCCCGAAATCCATTTCATTTCAGCCCCATCTTTAATATAATATCCTCCATAATCAAAACAAATGATTGTACAATGCGGATTTTGCATTTTCCTGAAATAAAAATAACAACAATTAGCATTATTTAAAAGTTTAAATTTAATTTCCACGCTGTACACTCTTACTAAAACTAATTTTTTCAATACTAAATACACAGTAAAACTAGTAATACTAGTAATATTTGTAAGCATAATAATACCATAGTATCAGTAATACTTTTTTTCCTCAGTAAAACTGGCTATCTTAGTAATACCCAGAAATTATCCTTACACTAATTAATCAACTTTTTAGTCCGTTTTTATTCGGATTTTTCATTACCTATGATATATATTTCATATTAATGACAATACACCCAAGAAATCATCAAAACGGGCTCAAAAGGTACATAAAATATACTCTAAAACCCATAAACAAAGTTTACAAAATCCCTTTAAATCTCTTCAAATTTTCATTCAATCTTTCTTTTGTTACACAAGCCGACATATACACTTATCTTTATAAGTTTTCCAGTAAAAAATTCATCAAAAACGGACATAAATTATACCCGAAATCCATATACACAGTTTTTAAAATCGTTTTCTCTCTCTCAAATTTTCATCAATTCTTACCTTTTTTGGTTACCCATGGTATACACAAACATTTAAAAGACATTTCACACAAAATTTCATGAAAAACGAACAAGATTTACCTGATTTTTAAGCTCCAAAATCGCCAATGAAGGGTGGGGAAGAAGCTCTACGCAGGAGAGAGGGAAGGCTGGAAATTCTATTGGTTAAAGTTGCTTGTGGTCCCCATTTGGTTGTTGTGTGTTGGTTGGGTAATTTAATTGAAAATTTAAATGAATTAGTGAGGTGGAGAAGAAATATATTAAAGAAAGAAAGGCTAGTATGGGCAATTCAAAGACAAAAGAGTAGTGAGAATAGAGAGAGGATAGGAAGAATGATTTTTTTCCCATGAGAGTATTTGGAGTTAATCTCCGAAATTCAATCTCTATAATAAATGAGATATTACGGAATGTGCAACTATTTTATTTTGAGAAGGAAGATCAGACCAGAGCTTGTTCTCCTCACCGGACAAATCGGTTTGGATATTCAACAAAGACAGAGACTACTCTGAGAAATTAGAATACCATAAATCAGCAAATCAAATCCATTACTTCAACTCATAATATCAACATAAAACAAACATTTTGGAAAAGAATTTGTAGTTGTAAACATCTCCAAGACTGTAACAATTTTAGTGGATAGATCTATAAGAAATTTTTCGTATGACAGAAACTCTCTCTAAAAAAACTAAAAATCCTATTAGAATGTAATCTCATCAGCATTGACTCTCGAGAAACAATCCTCCACCTATTATTCCAATGCCTTGCAAAGAAATTTGGGAGCTAGCAGGTTTTGATAGTCCAACAGGTCAGCAGGTGTTGATAGTCCAACAAGCCACCAGTTTACTTCTCACTCCCTAATGGATTATATTCAACCCTTTCTGATAGAATATAAAGAGCAATTCATACTACTTTCCATTTCACTGGATGTCGTATATGGAAAGCTCTGAATTATCTTTTTGTAAGGGTAAAAAATGGGTCATGCCAGAAATTATACACAAAACTTTTACGGACCATCAATTATGGATAGAAGCTAAATCTTTAAATGAAACTTTCTGTTTGTACCACCATAATTATCATGTTTGCATTCACTACTCATATATATGCTTCTAGTTTTAATGCATAAGATAATTACTGTTTCTATATTGATGCATCATGGTTAGATGATAAGCACGATGCCATAATTGAATCTCTTATCTCTTATATATTAATTGAGAAACATTACAATATGTTTTGGTAGCCACGTGTCATCACTACAATTATTTTTAGAATCCTTAGAAAAATGGTTGGTCCATCTAAACATATTTTAAAGTTTTTATTAAACTAACTAGCAAATTAATTAGTAGTATACAAAACTATTCTATATTCTTTCCTTAAATAAAAGTTACGGAATTACGTAATATGGTTAACATATATATATATATATATATATATATATGATAATTAATGATTTTGAATAATAACTATTTGATAATAATTTGTGTATCCTCCATCATTTTTGTTTAATTTTATATTCTTAAAAAATAAACAATCACATTAACCATATAATTAAAATTTAGTTTTTTATATGCTATATTTTGATTTTTTAAAAGATTATAAGTTACTAAGAATATTCAAATCCCACAATGAAAACTTTGTGATCAAGGTTTGTTTGTTTTTTTTGTTATAATAAAATACAAACATTTATAAAATCATATAAATATGAAGTCTCATTTAATATATAATCAGATTAAATACATATATATATATATATATTTAAATAAAACAAATATCAGATATAAAATACACAAAAATGTTAATTTTAAAATTTGCATTGAATAGAAAGCATCAATTAATAAATATTCATATTAATTAAAATAAAAAAATTTCCAGCAATATAAAAATGTTAATAAAATCATAGCAGTACGAAACCTAAAAAATAAATATTATTATTAAAATATTCTATATATCTATGTCACTATTATTTAATTTTTTATATGCCGTATAAAATAAATAAATGATTTTTTTCTCTTTTTACCAACAAAACTATTGTAAATAAACAATTTATATTTCTTAATGTGCTTACTCCAATTTAATTTTATACATAATAGTTACTTAATTATCAATTATTTATTATATTTACTATTGCATAATACGTAATTGAACAAAAAAATAATTATATGCATAAATAATTTGTATATATAATTAATGTTCCTTTTTGTAACAAAACATAATTAATATTCATTCCGCCCAAGCGCGGATCTCAAATATTATTTTATTATATCATTTCAGAAATACAATTCTTTATAATGAAGTGAAAATGTGAATGGTAACTTTTAACTGAAAAGTTAAGAAACAATTTCTTATATTTTCCTAAGAAACTCGCCCTCAGAAACCTGCAATAATGATGCTCTAACATCACGGTGATATCATTGAAATCAAATATGAATTAAATAGGTTAAAAAAAGTTATCAATATTGTCCGATACTCAACAATTTTATATTAATGGTCCATAAACATATGTTTGAGAACTTATAAAATGATGGTTCAATAATCAAAATTAGTATTTAAATTATTTTTTTGTAAAACAATTTCATCCCGCCCATAAACGCGGGTAATCACCTAGTGGGTTTTGTATAATTCAAGACATAAAATTTTCAACAGGTATAATTTTCTACCGAAGCAAAAAATAGAGCCCTAGAAGCAGAAAACTTGGCACTAACGGAAGCTATTCTTTAAACAATCAAAGATAATTTTTTTGTGGTGGTTGCTTATTTCTTTATAATATTATTGAAAATATGGTTATTACTATCAACCCAAAGAGTGCACCATAAAAAGTGGGAATATTCAAACTCATTTTGATGATATAATGAAGCTAATTGAAGAAAGGGAGTACATGTTCAAGTATCTTGATAGTCAAGTAATCATCAAGCGGATAAACTAGCCACTAAAGCTATAAAATATAACTCTTCATAAGAATGATTAGGAGGAGTTTTTGGATTTCGAGAAAGATTGCAACTTGGAATGATAAAAGCTATTAGGTTTCTTTCTTTGCTGCTAGCTTTGTATATATTCTTAATTAAGCTTTCATTGCAATCTGAGGCTTAATGTCCATTAATCACTGTCAAGTTCTGTACCATACTTCTAGTTTAGTTATATTTTTTTTGTTTTGATATTTTCTGCAGGAAACCTTTATTTCACGAAAATGGTGGTCACAGATGCTGAAGCTCCTCTTCTTGGGGAGATTAGTTGTGGAACTTTACTGCAGAGTTGCAGGTAAATCTCTCAACCATCTCCTTTTTTAACCAAAGTTGCAGGGCTTTCACTCATTCTTGTGTGGTGTGAACATTGTAAGTTTTGTTTTAGCAAAAAAGAACATTGTAAGTTTTGTTTTTCTAATTGATATGTATCTCTTGTGAGTGATTTATGTGTGTTTTTTTTTTCTTCTGTTGTTGCAGCCACATAAAGTCTTGTGGAACGATTAAAGAACAGCTTGCTACACCAGCTCTTGAACAACTGTGGCGACAGAAAGAAGAGAGAGTAAAAGAGTTCTCCTATGTGCAATCGAAAATTCAGAAGATATCTGGAGAGATTGTTGGTGGTTTCAATAATGAGGTTCATATATCCTTAGCAATCTTAAAACAGCTAAGATCACTGAAGTGATATTTAGAAAGACTTGATGTAGAGTTCGTGAAGACATGCGAGAGAGGTGAATGTAGAGTTCGTGAAGACATGCGAGAGAGGTGAATTATGAAATTAGATTTACTTTCTTTGACGTGGCTTTGATGTATGTTTTATAAAATTAATGAATAGAATTATGACTCTGAGGTTTTTATAGTATTGGTCACTGACGAGAGAAATATAAAGCATCAAGGGAAATTGTCTAAGCCTTCAGTTCTTAAGTTATGCTATAAGAAAATATGTGTTTTTTGAATAATTTATGGAATATAAAATTTATATATAAAAGTCTAATAAATAAATACTACGTATATTATTTAAAGAAATGAAATAAAACCTAAATCTCAAACACTAAATTCAAATCTTTTTTTTTTAAAGGAAAAAAAAAAACAAAACCCTAAAACTCAACCTAAAACCACATATAACACTTCAAACCCTATACATTACAAATCTCAAATACTAAATATAAATAAATTATAATTCCTCTAATATATATATATACCCCAAACTATATACTACATTCAAAATTCAAAATTACACATAAACTCTAAACCATGTATACGCAGACTTTATATCATCATAAAAATTTTCATTTTACACTCTAATCATATTAATATCTTAAATGAGAATAATAAATCAAATTATTTTTTCTTTTAGTTTTAATCCATAATCCAAATCTTAAACTTCAAACCAAATATACTCTATATCCTCAACTTTAAATTTAAGTCTAAACTGTTAACACTAACCTACACTCTAAATTAAATTTCTAAACATTATATAACTTCAATAAACTCTTTGCAAAACTTCTAATCATAAATCTAAAACTTTAATAAATACAAATAAACTTAATCACATATTTATTTCCTAACTCTCAATCTTTATTTTCTAAAATTTAAAATAATATAAATCTCAAACACTAAATTTTGTAATCCACACCCTAAATCCAATACCATAAACCCCAAACTTAAACCCTACATACAAAGTCATAAATCTAATTTTTTAAAATAATCTAATTACTACACCAAAACTTATTTCTTCTAGATATCATTAATTTTTTTTTTCAAATAATTATCCTAAATTTTAATTCAACCACAATTATATTTCACAAACCTCAAACCATATATTTTAAACTTAACCATAACTATATAAAATAATAATCTAAATTGTAATATTAAGTAACAATAAAATTAAATTTTAAAGACAATTATAAAATCTTAATTTTATATCAAACATCAATTTCAAACCAAAAGTCATCAAAAATTGAAAAATAGAAGATAAAAACAAAAACAAAAAATATAACGGTTTATTATTCAAAAGCAAAGGAAACTATAGACCAATCAACTCTCATCACCCATATCACCATCTGAGCCGTAGGATACAATTAAATCAAGAATATTTGTACTCCATACCTACAACATTTACCATATTTGCACTTTATACCTAATTTTCCCCTAATTTTTTTCCCTCCATCATCCCTATTTCCCCACAATATTTAGATATTTTCCTAATTACTACATTCTTCTTGTATTTTCAGCCAATTCACCCTTAAATCAATGGATGAGAATATTTTAGTTTCTTCTCTCTCTCTCTCTCTCTCTCTCTCACTCTCTCACAATCTCTAGTCTCTCCATCGACAAATCTCATCCATCTTCTGTTCTTTATGTTTCCAGATTTCATCTCCTCCATCTTCGTTCTTAATCATCTCCTACATACACCTCTCTCTGTCTTACTCTCCAAACCGAAGAAGGGTGCAGCTGCCCCCAGTAAAAATTACAGCCAAAATTAAATACACCAGAATTTATATATCTCTTGTAGTTTAGTTGATTAAAAACTTTTATTTTCACCCACTAAACCA